AGACTGCTCACTTTTCTCCCTTAAGAGGGGGGGGCAAGCTCATAGTTCATCTCGAGCACCCAAACCCTCAGACCATCCATGGCACTGTCAAAGCCTTGGAGGATGCTTTTGAAGATTTATGTACAAAATAGCAGCAGTTTTTGGTGTTTTCCGTTGCAAATCATATGGAACTTCTCCCCAGCTTGTCACGGGGATTAGAACTCCTGTATATACTGCTGGTATATAGAGAGCATCCAAAGAGTGCAATGCCCTGTGCTGTCCACATGATTGATTCAGACAACCATCTGGGGCTGCGGTCACACACATTAAATAATTCACTTTCAATCCACTTTCAATGCACTTTCCAACTGGATTTTGCAAGTTTGCACAGTTAAAAACCAGTTGGAAAGTGCACTGAAAGTGAATTGAAAGTGGGTTGTTTAGTGTGTGTGACCACAGCCTCAGTCAAGACACGAAATGGGATCACTTCATGTTATGAGAGGAAGGATGCTCTGCATATTTCCAGAGGCTCGAAGAAGAAGAAGAAGAGGAGGAGGAGAAGGAGGAGATTGGATTCATACCCCACCCTTCACTACTCAAAGGAGTCGCAAAGCAGCTTACAAACTCCTTTCCCTTCTCCTCTCCACAACAGACATTCTGTGAGGTAGGTGGGGCTGAGAGAGCTCTGACAAAAACTGCTCTTTTTCAAGAACAGCTGTGCCAGAACTATGGCTTACCCAAGGTCATCCAGCAGGTGCAAGTGGAGGAGTGGGGAATCAAACTCAATTCTCCCAGATTCAAGTCCGCACACTTAACCACTACACCAAACTGGCTGCTACTGGCTGCATTCCATGACACAATCCTTGGTAGAAAAGCATGACTATCCTGTGTAGCCTTCTGTTGTCTCTTTCAAGCAACACAAGGAAAGGAGCAGGAAACTAATCAAGGATCTTCCTGGAGTAATTTAACACCAAATGACCAGGGCTGAAGAGCAAAGCTGAAAGGGCTTGGACCACAAGACATCCTGAAGTCCTTTCAGAAGTGAACCAGGGGGAAACAGCTGGTGGTCCAGGGACTTGTTTCAGTCCCTGGAGTGGGTCAGGTAAATGTGTGACGAGGAGGTCTGTCTGAATGTGTACAAAAAAAGCAGAAAATCACTCTAGACTCCTTTCTCTTCTGAATCACAGCCATGTCAGAACAAGAGATGAAGAGTGAAATATGCCCCCAGTGGTAGAGGTGGTGGATATGTGCATATACGTAGCTCAGTTTTGTATTTCTTACTTTCTCATTGTTTGCGGGTGCATGTTTGGAATACTTTGTACTCTTGTTTGTGGAAGACTTGGCTTGTGTGGACTGACTTTTGCACGGCTGCTTTTGGGGCTCATTCCTGCCTTGCAAGAGAGAGTGAGACATCAGTGGCTTTGGGATGGTTCCTTCTGCTCGGTAACTCAATCATCTCAGCCTTGGATGTTCAAATGTATCTCTGCTTTCTTTATCGTGGGAGGGAGAAGTGTCGGTTTTTGTCTCAGTTCCTCATCAGAGTTCACCACTGTGCAACTGGCTACCACTGGTATCCCAGGCAGCACAGTAGTAATCAGCCTCATCTTCCACTTTGCTGTTTGCGATGTTTAAATGCCGAACGCTCCCAGAGCTGGAACCAGTGAACCGATCCGGGATCCCTTCTCCCCTGCTGCTGGTACCATAGAGCACAAATTGAGGGCCCTGTCCCGGCCTTTGTCGAACCCAGTGGAAGTCACTTACACTTCCACTGATAGTGCAGGAGACTGTAGCCGGTTGTTCCAGGGACACAGACTGTGAGGGAAGCTGAGTCAAAGTGGCCCCAGAAATCACACCTTTTGGAAGGAGAAGGGAAAGGAAGAATTATGACCTTGATGTCCTCAAATAACCGCAGTATTTCAGTTATGCAATGTAAATAGTCTTGCTGCTAGATAAAAAGCTCCATATTCTACTTCCTTACCTGAGCAGTAAGTGAGAATTGTAAAGGTCAACAGAGCCAAAGCCATGGTGAGCGCTCTCAAGGAGATTCACTTGGGGGTGCAAAGAGATAACTGGGTGGGACATTCCCCCTTCCCTTGTTAAATCCTTCTCAGCTAAACCCTCCCCCTTTCATGCAAATGTGGCCCATGGTCATGAGCTCTGCCAGACTAGCATGTCTTTTCTGAGGATATGCACTATTCAGGCAAAAGCAGTGACCATCAGCCACATTTGCATAAAAGATATTGTGGAAAAGCCATTGAAATGGACCTGAGTTTGCCTAGAATGAAAACAAGGCAGTGGTAGAATAATTAACTGCAGTGAAGACTGTCCAGGAACAGAAATGGGGGGGGCACAGTGATGAAAAGTTATTTTATTGTTTTTCTATCTACAGGATGAAATGGAATAGAGGAGAACAATGTAAGCTTTTTGGGGTCCCTATCAGGGAGAAAAGTGAGGTGTGTGGATGAAGTCAATAAAATTCACATGGAGAACTGAAGAGGCATTTAAAAAAACACAAATCAAATAGGCAGAAGAGGAACAAAAATAAAGAGCTGTTATGGAAACAAGCAGATTGAGTAGCCTAGTTTGGCCCAAGCTTGGGGTGCTTGTGGGGGGGCACAGTGGGAGGGCTTCTACTGTCCGGGCCCCACTGGTGGACTTCCTGATGGCACCTGGTATTTTTGGCCACTATGTGACGGAGTGTTGGACTGGATGGGCCACCGGCCTGATCCAACATCGGCTTCTCTTATGTTCTTATGTTACGCTCATTGCGCTCATCAGGGCTTGGGAGCTAAGCAGGGTTGGCCACAGTCAGAACTGGGATGGGAGACCACCGGGGAAGACTGGAGATGCTACGTCGAGGCAGGCAATGACTAAACCACCTTGACTCTTGCCGTGAACAGCCCATTGGGGTTGGGGTTGCCATGAGTTAATTGTGACTCAACAGCACATTCTTCTTCTAGGGAAACAAGCAAAGCCATTGTTCTTCCTCTCCAGATCTGGGAATCCACAATGATTCACGAAACTAACTTCACTTGGGCTGAAGCATATTTGAACCAAATAGGGTATTGATTTGGTATTGAAAACAGATCAGCCAATATCATAATGCCCCTATATAAATCAATGGTGCGACCTCATTTGGAATACTGTGTGCAGTTCTGGTCACCACACCTTAAAAAGGATATTCTAGCTTTGGAAAAAGTGCAGAAAAGGGCAACTCGAATGATAAAAGGGTTGGAACACTTTCCCTATGAGGAAAGGTTAAAGCGCTTAGGGCTCTTTAGCTTGGAGAAACGACGACTGAGGGGTGACATGATTGAGGTTTATAAGATTATACATGGGAAAGAGCAGGTAGAGAAAGAGGTACTTTTCTCCCTTTCTCACAATACAGGAACTCGTGGGCACTCAATGAAATTACTGAGCGGTCGGGTTAGAACGGATAAAAGGAAGTACTTCTTCACCCAAAGAGTGATTAACACATGGAATTCACTGCCACAGGAAGTGGTGGCGGCTACTAGCATGGACAGCTTCAAAAGGGAATTAGGTAAGCATATGGAGCAGAGATCCATCAGTGGCTATTAGCCACAAGGTATAGACAGGGACTCTGGGGCAAGTGATGCTCTGTATTCTTAGTGCTTGGGGGGGGGAACAGTGGGAGAGCTTCTAGTGTTCTGGCCCCACTGCTGGACCTCCTGATGGCACCTGGTATTTTTGGCCACTGTGTGACAGAGTGTTGGACTGGATGGGCCTTTGGCCTGATCCAGTTGTGACGTATCTTATGTTCTTAGGTTCAGAGCCAATGAATTCAAAAGGGCCACAACTTTCTCTGCAGGGCCAGGGTACCCACTCCCCTGCTGTGACCAGCTTGCAAAGCAAAACAAGCCTGGGGCTGCCCAGAATCCCAGACAATATTCTTGGGCGTAAAAATATTGATTGCAATGTGATTTCAAAGCACAAGTGAGGAGGGAGGCACGGATGGAGTGCTCATGATCTTCCTTTCAATGGACAAGGGAGGCACAGGCCTCATGATCTCCCTATGTTCCTCAAAAATACTAAAACACTATATTGCCATTTTCATAGCATGGAGGCAAATAAGATGGTGTGGTAAATAATATCACATCAGGCCTCTATTAAAGGGGCAGGAGGGTTTTCTTCTTTTTCCGTCAGTTGACCTCCTTACTCTGTGGTCCTCTAATTCTTCCTAACACATTGAAAGTGGAACAGCAACTCCACCTAGCGGTTGATGTAAGAATATCAAGCATCTAATTGGATATCTCAGTGGATGCGTGTAACATTTTTAAACACAGTTTCAAGTAGATAACCTTGTTGGTCTGCGGCGGAAAACAAGATTTACATCCAGCAGCACTTTAAAGATGAACCAGATTTTCAGGGTATAGGATTTCAAGAGGCAAAGTATTCCTGGGACTTTGATTCTCAAAAGCTTATTCCCTGGAAATCTTGTTGGCCTTTAAAGTGCTACTGGATGCGAATCTAACATTTCCCAAGAACTGCAGTGAAATAAATGGCACTGAAAAGAGTGTTGCTTTGGCTGGATCCTGTACATTTTTGCAAGTTGTTAGCTAGAACCCAATTCAGTCTGCACAGCACCTCCTATACTCCATTTACCCCCACCACCCATTTACATGAACATTGAGGCTTGCCGGGTTAGTTTGTCTCAAATTCTCCAGACCAACAGTTCTGAACAAATGAGAATGTAGTGCACATTCAGCTTAAGGGACAGCCTGTTAAAACTGGTCGTCCTGATCAAGAGAATTACAGCAGAGCTGATGGGAGGGGACCATCCACTTATAAGCAGGTGAGTAGGAAGGCATCGATAGTGTGTGTCTGTTTCTCGGTTTTGAAATATTTCCTAGCACTCTTTTCTCCCATCACAGCTGGGCCCCAAGGCAGGATGTTTCAGAAACCATTCTTCAAGGAGATATAGGTACAGTTCATCAGAGGAAGCTAATACTGGAGTCTCCACTCTGGGAGGAAAGAATGATGGTTTTTGTCTCAGTTCCCCATCAGAGTTTAGCACTGTGTAACTGGCTGCCGGTCCATGCAAGGCAGTAATAATCAGCCTCATCCTCTGGCTGGAAGTTTGTGATGGTTAAATAGCGAACGCTCCCAGAGCTGGAATCGGTGAACCGATCGGGGATCCCTTGTCCGCGGGTACTGCCATAGAGTACAAAGTGGGGGCCCTGCCCAGGTCTTTGCCGATGCCACTGAAAGTGGTGTATGCTACCACTGACGGTGCAGGAGACTTTGGCTGTCTGTCCCAGGGACACAGACTGTGAGGGCGGCTGAGTCCAAGCGGCCTGAGAACTGACTCCTGTAGAAGAAAAATAGGAAAAAACAGCAATGACCAGTTCACTCCCTATGTTCCCCTCAAATACTAAAACATTATGTTGCCATTGGTAATGAACGATACAAATTGTTTTGCTGTTGGACCATAAGGCTTCAAAGTTTCATCCTCTCACACTCTTACCTGAACAGTAACTGAGAAGAGCCAGGAAGAAGAGGGTGCGCCCCATGGTGAGTTCTCCAAAGGAGTTTGACTGTCCAAAGCAAAGAGAAAATTGGATCAAACTTTCCTCCCTTCTGTTGTTAAATCCTCCCCAGCTGAAGCATGAAGGCCCCTTCATGCAAATAGGTTCTGTGGTGAATGTCAAATTTTAAACGACGTATCTCCACTGGGAATATGTGCCTGTCTAGCAAACTGTGCAGACAAATTTGCATAGAGGAGATTTTTAAAGTACTTACAAATGGCCCTAGCTTTGTCCAGGATGAAAATGAGGCCAGTGAGAGTGTAATCCACCATGGTAAAGGATAATGGGGAATACATACCAAGGTTATTTACACATGTGATAAGAAGAACACCTCTCAGATCTGAAGCATATCACTTGTGAACATTCGTGACTGGAAATAGAGTCAAGGAGAGCCTTATTTAAATCAAAACGTGTAGGCTCAAACATATACATAACAGAAACAGACAGGCCAACATCTGTTTAAATACCATGGAGGAAGGGGAAAAAAGACAAAATTTCTCCCCAGACCTGAGAGATCATAACGATTGTGAAAACTAATTTGGTCAGAATGCCAGTCTAGGATGGAGAACTTTATTACGTGATCATGGGCCATCCAGTCTCCCTCTCTAGGGATCCTTGCTCACAGGCTTTGTAGTAAGGATAAGATAGACGAAGAGAGAGAGCCATCGGCGCTTTCCTGAGCTCTGTGGAGAAAGAGAGAAATAAAGCTGAGATAGATGGTGAACTTCCCACTTATCATCTCTGAATGGGGTGCAAGACAAGTTGTGTAAATCTAATCCCGTCAGATGTCAAGAAACTGGACCAATCGTTCCCTCTTCTGGTTTAGCTCAGGTATAACAGAGGATGCCTTTGGCACATATTTTGTCTGTGCTAAAAATAAGATCCAGATGAATTTAACAGTTTGTTCCTAACATGGCGTTTTTCTTAACTGATTACAGCATACATGTTTAACTTTCTGCACTGATATAACTGGCACTTGGAAGCAGTGTTCCTTCTAAGCTGAGTTTGTGTGAGCTAGCTCACAGTTTTTTAGCCTCCAGCTCACACATTTTTGTCTTAGCTCAGGAAGGAAACCAGAGCAAACTAATGTATGCAGTAGCCAAATCGTTTGCTCACAACTTTAATGCCAGCAGCTCACAAAGTAGAATTTTTGCTCACAAGACTCCACAGCTTAGAGGGAACACTGCTTGGAAGTGCTTCTGTTTGACTAGATTCTGTAGACTGTAAAAAAAAAGTAATTAAGGAAGTGGGAAGTGTCCAGGAGCAACTTAAAGACCAACAGGAATTCCGGGGTATAAGATTTTGAGGATCAAAGCGCTCTGGTATTTCACAAAGGGAGCTCTGACTCTTGAAAGCTTAGACCCTGGAAATCTGGTTGGTCTTTAAGGAGCTACTGGACTCAAGGCTTGCTCGCTTGCAAAACAGCATGGCTACCCACTGGAAACTATCTAGCTAGGCTCTGCTTTTAAAATGGCACAGGAAAGCTCACCATTGCCGCTCTCTTATAGCCCATTATAGTGCTTTCCACCTTTCCCTGCCCTGCTGTGTGACTTCGGGGAGTGCTGGGTTGTGGAAACTCAGACATGTTGCCAAATAAGGTAACATCTACTTTGGCCTTGAGCCATTTGTTCTTCAGGCAGGCAACGTATTCCATTCCACATACCCTTCACTGTAGAACACCCATCTCTGGCTGCAATCATATGCACAATTAGACCTGACATAGGCACAAATGCAAGGCGTATTTAAAGGGCACAATCAGACAACAACATCTGGGAAGCGCCCTGCAGCCATCGGCAACCCGTTCTGCTCCACCGCAGAAGCGGAGTTAAAAGACACCGGGGGAAATCCGGTAGTTAACAGGTTGTGATGGGCCACGGATGGACTTTCCTGTGTCTGATCACTCCAGCGTGCTCTCATGGCATCAGGGTGGTCTGATCAGGCCATCCCAGCTCTGTGCCATTGTCCCCCCCCCTTCGCAGTATGCGCATCATCGCAAACTCTATAGGGGGCCCTCAGTGCAGAGGTGCGATTCATCGATCCCTCAGTTAAGCACATGGAGGGGAAAAGGCACACAAAAAACCAACTTGCCTGCATTTGCATCTGATCACGCACTGACGGACGGCGCCCACAGCTTCAAAGGGGGTGTGATCGTGCAACTGCAGGTCAAATTCCTCCAGAGAAAATAGCCTTGCTTCCCCCCCCCCAGTTTTTCTGGCACGTGTGACCACAACCTCTCTCCATCCCATCTACTTTGGGGCTAGAGAAAGCGTCCTGAGGCAAATTGGTCTTACTTGTTACCTGCTTATTCTCTCTCAAATGCCCTGAGCTGCAGAATAGCCCTGTCATGAAGATGTGCTCCATGCTCACTGCTAGAAGCAGGGGTCGTTCCGTAGAAAAAGAGCTAGGGGAACTCATTAGCATATGCCACATACCCTGACAGGGGTGGGGAGAGGCGGGGAGGAAGCAACTTACCCTCCCTCTTCTCCTGCCTCCTCCTGGCTGAATGAGGGCCGGAAGCGGGGCGGCCGGAAGCAGGGGCGGGGCTTCATTGTGTGCCCCACCCCCCGTACCTCACCTGGGGGAACTGCGATCCCCCGCGATCCCCCCCAAAATGACCTCTGGCTAGAAGCTTATAGAAAGATGTTCCCTCCTTTCTTCAGCAGATGTTTTTGTCTCAGTTCCTCCCGTGGCTTTATCACTGTGGCTCACACGTAGCTACTGTCACTGCTGTGACCTCCGCCACAATAGTAGGTAGCCTCGTCCTTTGCCTGCACATTGGTGATGGTTAAGTAAGCGACTTTTCTAGGACTGTCCGTGGAAGCGGAGAAATTACCAGAGACCTCAGATCCAAAATTGGTCTTGCCAGTGCTGACTTTATAGAACAGGATGAATTTGGGGCTCTTGCCCTCTTTTTGCTGATACCAGCTGAAACTTCCAAATGTCATGCCAGTCATTGTGCAATTGAGTCGAGCCGTGTCACTCAGGGAGGCTGACTGAAAAGATGATTGAGTCAAGGTGAACTGGGCCAAGGACCCTGCGGAGAAGTCAGAAAGAATTTTGGAATTAAACCTGAATCGAGTTTTTTTTAAAGTAAAAGTTTAAAAACTGCAAAAGAGGATGAGAAATGGATACAAAATGATTGCCAGAAGCATGAGACAAACGTTAAGAAATATTCTTCACCTGAATAGTAAGTGAAGAGGAAAAGAAGACACAAAATCCACCCCATAATGCGATATCTGGTCTCCCAAGGCAAGAGAACCCCTTGTGGTTGCTTTTCCATCCTGACCCTTAAATGCCCAGAGTTGCAGAATACTCCATTTATGCAAATGCACTTCTTCCTCATTGGCTAGATGATGAATGCTGTAGAAGTTTGCAAAACATTGCAATGTCTATATGGCTTGCAACTTTGGCTAATCTTGTAGGACATTTAATATGGTTCTATGAACATGACCGTGAAGGCAAACTGAAAATACTGCTATGTTTCTGCCATTCTGCTTGCTTTACAGATTAAAACAAGTATCAAGTAGGATTGCAGAAATATGGTTTTGCCAATTTGTTCCCAGGTAAAAAAGAGGCAAAAAATTATGATCAGAAGTGAAACCTTTATAGCTATATTAGCTGTGTTCCATTGACTGAAACAAGTTCCACCAATGGCTCATGTGCTGAGACAGTATGGAACTTTTATGAACATTCCAGCTCTTTGAAAGATTAAAAAAATACACAGGACTTTGCTTTGAGAGAAATGTGCAAAATTATTGTGAAAGGTTTCATAAGAAAAGGAAATAGGCAATACTACTGAAGATTTGAAAAAAAAATACTGTTTTACTTGTAGGGATTTTTGTCATCCCATCTTTCTACTGCAAAGAATACTCAAGGAAGAAAACAAATTATCTAAATCAATCCACAACAATGAAGAAATTCAGTAATCAAAAATAAAACATTAAGACAGATCAATAAATAAGCCATACACATAAGAAGGGAAACTATGGACATTAGTGGTGGCATGTGCCATCAATCACAGCCGACTTTTGGCGAACCCATTGGGTTTTCAAGGAAAGAGATAATAGAGGTGTTTTGCCATTGCTTGCCTCTGTGTAACAACCCTGAGATTCAGTGGTGGTCTCCCATTCAAGTACTAACCGGGTTAGCTTCTGAGGTCTAGTAAAACCTATCTAGGCTCAGCCATCCAGGCCAGGGCTACTAAGATTAGTTTAAGGATAATCTCCAAGGACAGGTAAGCAGGAAAGACTTCCCCTGGCATCTCAAGGATGTTGAATTTTACTGGGTAACAAGTTCCAGATCTACAGTGCCACCACAGAAAAGGCCGTCTCTGCAGCAGCCACTTCCTAACTTTTCATTGTTGGACATTTGGGGATCTTTGTATGCACCACTGAGGACACCTGGCCACCACACAGTGTACTGTAAAGGAAGCATCTTGTTGGGCTGCACAGACCACTGATTCAGACAACTACCAGAATCCTGCCTTTCAAGAAATGGGAATGGGGTGCATTTGGGATTCAAGAAGAACACACTGTACATCCTCAGAGGCTATTTTCTTGACTAGTTCTTGAAGGTTCCAGGATCCAGTCCTGGAGGACAGCTTGGCTATGCTGCAGAGCCTATAGTTCTGTCTCTGTCCAAGCAGCTCAAGGAAAGGGACTGGAAACTACTGGTGGTTCTTGCAAGAATAATTTACCATCAAACAACCAGGGCTGAAGAGCAAATCGTAGAGCCTTGGACCACCAGCCGTCCAGCGGTGCTTCCAGAAGGCAGCCAGAGGGAAACAGCCAGTGAATTAGAAAATTGTTTGTCACCTGGCATCCCTGAAGTGGATCAGATCAGATGACAGGGATGTATGTTTAAATAGACACAACTAAGCTAGAAAAATGAGTCTTCCAGACTCATTCCTACTCTCTGTCACAAAAAAATAAAATAAGGAAAAGTGATGCGCTGTGAATTATGTCAAAAAGGATAGAGCAGGTTGATGTGAACATTTAAATCATG